GGGGGGGCTAGACATTTACATTTATAAACCACTAGGCAATGATGTTCGCTGTCGTACTCTACCTCTAAGTGATCGTTGTAGCACACAAGAACATCCCCGTAGTTATGGAAATGATCAATTGATTCGTGGACCAATAGGAAGAAAAATAAAAGATTGACGATGAAAACAATCATTTATTGTCAATCTCTTTTATGATAAGGGATAACGGATTGGGAAGCGAATGGCGACAAAATAAAAAAGACATGCGACACAGAAGATGGCAATCACTTGCCATCAGATATTCTCTTCATCTGCTGTTTTCTTTGCTCGATCTGCAAGGAAAGGTAGATTTTTTGTCTCAAATGAGTAGACATCCGTGGCTTCGTTCATTCCTCCTATGTAATTTTCGACAATGGTCAAGATAGCATAATACACGTCCTGCACCGTGTTTACAAAGAGGAATTAAACATATTCATGTAATTATTATGGATAAAAACGTATGTACACTTTAGGAAACCGGGAATAAAAATCCGTTAATGGACTGTAGCGTGAGGCGAGGTTTTTTAGGTTTCCCCCAAACGGCAAAAACATAACGCGGTTGCTAAACAGATACGCAATTTTTACTGACTGTGTCTCATCGTGCACAGTATACTTTCATACTTTTCCATTCCTCTTCAGAACTAATACTGGACTGCTTAAGAATTCTGAAAGCATTGTTTTGAAAGTTACTGTACAGATTTACAATAACATTTTTTCGATGGTATTCAATCATTTAATGAGTAATTTAATAAAAAAAAGAATGGCATTATTTTATGGAAGATACTCCTTCCATTGAAAAATTTACAAAAGAAAGGAAGGAAATGACGGTACATAATTAATTAAATTTATTTTTGTTCAGCCTCCAAGATCTTTAATGAATTTCGTCGTCCGATACAAGCCTGAAGAGCAGCCAGCTCTTCGTCCTCATCATGATTCATCAACGTACACAATTAATATTGCCCTCAATCAAGTTGGCGTCGATTATGAAGGAGGCGGCTGCCGTTTTCTCAGATATAATTGCTCAGTCACTGACACCAAACCTGGTTGGATGTTGATGCATCCAGGTAGATTAACACATTATCATGAGGGACTGCGAGTAGTGAAAGGAACTCGATATATTATGATTTCATTTATTGACCCTTAAATATTCATAATACTAGTAATAACTACTAAAAATTAGTCTAATGTTTAGGTTTGATCACAGAAATATTCTCGATAGATATACGCCTCGATTTCTTCATTATATAAAATCTTGATAAATGCCTAGTCAGCTCCACCACAAATAATTCATCCGAGAGATTTGAATTTCTCTGCTTCATTCAGGTTAACCCTCCATCATTGCAGAGAGTCAATTAGTCGGTATTGGTGTAGGCCAATAAATATAGGAATAATAATATAATCGCGAAGTAACCTTGGGCGGGTCCGCCAGTAGCTGTGAAAATACCTCAACAGCTGCTGTTGTGGTTAACACGGCGAGTGAGTGAGATTATATACAATAAATTGAATAGCTACACGATGGTACCGTAGATATAGATATTGGTTATGTTCAGTCACTGGTGGTATGTGGTGAAATGAGGGGCTTACGTACAATATTGGTAATTGTGGGATCTATTTAGCACTACTCACATTCATCCATCTCTTTGTGTATCGATTGTCTGAGTGCATTAACATGTATTATCTTTGGGGCCGACAATACCGCCACGTCCCCATTGTAGGCCTGGCTAACTGGAAAAGTGGATTGACAATTATATCTCCCAACCTAATTGCTACCACTAACAAAGTTCTTCAAGACCATAAATGATGAAAACCTATACATAGCACTATAGCAAATGTAAAATGGTTTGATGGGGCTAACCTAGGCATTTATCGAAATCGTTCATCCAAACTATCACTCCATGTACTCAATTTACGCCAAATTGGAATAAGTTTAAAGTATCTTGTATCACTGAACGTACAACACTTTATTAACAAAAAGAAATAGTTGTTTTTTTTTCCTATTACCATAGTTTCATGATTTGATAGACACCTCTTCGTCTTAGCGTTTAGCCTCTCCTACTATCCTCTCATTATTTTTGCGATGTCATGGGCCGACTTTCCGTACTGCGCCCACTTGGCTTGTACTGAGGGAAACCATGTAAAACCTCAGTAGCGCAGCCGGCCGGTAATGCGGGGATTCTACTGTGTTCATCAGTCCACTGACTCGGAGAAGACAGCAGCTCTCTACACCCATGCCTGACTGCGGCAGTCTACACGCCGAGGAGTGTGACTAAGCGGGCACCCATCCAAGTACTAACCCAACTGAGCGTTACTTAGCCTGGATGACCGCCGGAGTCACACACCACCCGCGTGGCGAGTGTAGCCGCTAAAAAGAAATAGTTTTGATTTGTTTATACGTATTTTGGAGCTAGTATAAGCCTCTAAACCATGTCGGACATTTGACTCTTATTTTCGATTTTACCTTTATATATTATGAAACAATCCATTTCACCATCTGATTATGGCATAATTAATTAAGGCTCGTTTTATTACAAAAAATTCATCAGGATATGTGGCGATGAAGAAAAGTTGAATGACATGAAAGTGAATCAATTCATTCTTCGTTTGAAAAACTTGAAAAACTTCCAGATGAATTAAATTGCAGTGCTTACTTTTGAATGTGATAGAAATACAAATATTGATAACGTTGTAATTAATTAGTTATGTGATAAATAATGCTGTAATTACTTATCCCGGTGATGAGTAATCCTAGTATGAATTCTCCCTGCAATAAGTTTTTTTAATTAAATGTACCGTAATAACACCTGATTGTAATAAGTAGAGGGGGTGTCCTTGATTCCAGTGGTATTTGGTCCAATAACTACCGATCATTCGAAGGACCCAACAAAGTTATAGAAATTTTCGATCGTATTTCCAGCAAAACGCCCGTCCAACGGCATTTTATGTTTGTTTCATTTCTGCACATATAGTCCAGATTTGGCTACACTACGAAATGTAAAATTCAAACACGAGGTGCGACTCGGAAGTACATATACTCGAAATACTTCGAAAAGCCCTAACCCAGTAATCGAAATCTAAAAGACACGGCCAAAAATCATTATTCTCGTTCTCGCGACCCTGACCATCCTGGACGACAAAAACCGCAAAGCATCCTGAGCGAAACTCCGGAAATTGTCAGCAGCTCATCCAATCCTAAACAATGTGTTAAGGGCGCCAGCCGATTTTTAGCAACCCGTAGTCGATGAACTGCGACCGTATCTAAATCCCAACATAAAACTAAAATTGCACTGATCATTCCCAGAATTTCTCAACATCATAAAGTGAACTCACAGCTGTGGAATTACGGGGGTACAAAACTTCTCGGTTGCCGAGGGTGTGGGTGGTAGACAGAGGGGTGGATTCCTGCACGAAAACATCAATTAACAAAGTCGAAATAGTATCGAAAACCTGAACCAAAATCCAGGAATATATAGTGATAGGACTTCACGTAGGACAAATAAAATCTAGTCAATAATATCCTGACTTGTTTCAGTATTAACCATGAAATTTCGGTATAGAAGTAAACGAAATGAATAATGCTGAGATATAATACATGATTATGATAATCAATCCTTCGAACGCGGTGACCATAAGTAATAACTAATATTATTAAACTAACCCGCGTAGAAAATATAATAATTCTCGCTAACGGCACGATATTTTGGGGTGCGGGCAAACTGGGGGAAATTCCTCTAAGTGGTGAGGGTGGACCTGAAAAGTATAAGGGAAAAGGGGGAAATGAGAACTTGGGGGAAATTGAGGAAACCAAGATATATTCACAAAAAAAAAGATTGATACACCAATTTCGAATTAACTTTCTTTAGTTTTTCTGTTTTCTCCTATTACCCTATTCTTTATATTTTTTTCCTGTGTTTCTGTTAAGCTACTTCCGACAATTTTTCCATTTTTTATTTCTACCCTATTCTCTTTAATTTTTTCATTTTCTATCAACTCATTCTTTATACAACTCAGCTTTTCAGGGGTCGTGGGGGCAGGGGGTGGGTACCTTAACCTAGCTGCACACTTAGATTAATATACTAATAGTAGTGTAAGAACCACTACGGCGCCCCCCACCCAGAGTTACTCCAACCCCACCACTGCACTGGTCAGAGTAGCACGACTCCAACACGAGTGAGCGGTGGGGTGGGAGTAACTGTGAATGCTGTGGATGCGTCATAGTGGCTATCACACTGGGGAAATAAAAACACAGAATTTCACTTATTAATTGTATATATTTTTTCCCAAAAAATAATGACCCATGAATTACATATTTTTCTTATGGACTACTTACATTTTTGATTCCACGACGTACAATTGTAACCACGGCCACTAAACAAGTTTCCCTCAAAGATACTAGCACGTTTTTTCTTCATAAACGCATTGTGATATTTGGGCACTAGACGATCATTAGATATAAATCGATCAGTGAATAATGAATAGAACTTCTCAGGAGTAGCAAACATAGACATACAGAAGCCAATGCAGAAAAAGTATACAGTATTGTCCACATACGCTTGACTCGTGATGCTGGAGCTGCCGAATGCTGCACATGAAGAGTTTACAGTTCTTTCGGAGTCTTGCAGCGTGTTGGGGCACGATGGGAGGTAGCCCGAAGCTATCGAAGTACCATCCTCTGCCATTTCGATCAACGTACATGGCGACCCAGTGTTCTCCTGGCTGAGTGTGGTCATGTGTGTTCGCTACTATAGCCGTCGATTTCGTCCACACCGACGGGATCTTGTCCGCTGGATACACACCGACTGTATGATTCGGTATATACTGTAAGGCTTTTAGAATCTGTACCGTGTTCAGTAGCAGCAATCAATTCTTCTTCGTTTAAACTCTTTAACCCTTCCTCGTTCGAAGTCAACCACGCTTTGAGTTGAAGGACTCGCGGCATAGCACATATAAAAGTTCTGTGATTCAATGTACTGTGTATGAGGCATGATGGAACGGGTGCTGGTGTACAAGCGAATAGTGGTGACCTGATATGACCCTTCAAATTGATAATATCTCGGGTGAGAAGGGCGGCAGTGAATTTCGTTTGCTGACAGCCATAGGTATATACGTATTTCATTCCTTTCGTGATGGCTCGTAATGCTGCATACACATATTTAGATGACGCTTCTCCTTCATACCAGTCGATACCGTGACGTGTGATTGTGAGCTGATTATTCATCTTCTGAATATTAGGGAGAATCGCCGAATACTGGTATTCAGGGTAAATTACCCAATGGCCTATCATGTCGGACGATGTTGAGGTCACTGCCACTTCTTTCGGTACGAAGGTACCATGGATCCCGACGAAGCCCCCGTAATGAATAATTACAGACGAATTCGAATTACGGCAGGCCATTGCTATACTCTCCTCACAATTTTCTACTTTGAATATTCGCGCACAACTGTGCAGTTGAGCGATGATTCAAATCCGTTGTTTCAGAAAAACTGTTGACACTGCAAAAAAAGTCTGCGCATGCGTTTGAGCAGGGTGTTTATGGATAATCCAGGGTCACTTCCCTCTCTGAGTCAATTTCTATGACACTTTCAAACTCAGCATAAATTACAGCGTTGATTGTTGCACTTAAGGCTTCGTCAAATCGCACTTCGATGCGCATGCTACCGTTCCGTACCAAATTCTAATGGGAGTTGTCAACGGCTGACAAATCTGGTGTTAAATCGAAGGCAAAGAGACAATAACTATAAGGGTAATCTCCACGATGAATTCCATTACCATCGTTCAGAAAATGAACACCCGTGCCAGAGAAGATGGTATTGGTACGACTCGACATAGAAATTTTTCACAGTAAACTCAGGCTGTAGAGGTTTCGACGGGATTTGACGTCCATCCACATATAAGGATATATGATTCAGAGTAAAATGTTGACAGTTGAAGGGATTGAACCTTTTATCATCAACAAACGCGTGATTCTTGACCAACCCAAAGATGATGCGTTTTGATAGCTGACCTGTTACAAAGTTATTCATGGAATGGCCGCGAACACCTGACGGTATTGATACACTTTTCACCTCCACTCTTATCACAGGATATTTGGCTGTTGTTTTTGATAAAGCTCTTTGGTGAGATAGTAATAACCCAGGACTCACCTTCATTCTCCGCATGACCACTGATGCTTCTATTATTTGGATAGTAAAAGCACTATTTGTGTTATCCATTAAACAAAAACTGTCGCTTGATCGAACCAGCCGAATGTGAATATTTACACCATTTATCCATGCTCAATCTTGATTGAACACATCACAATGTAAATGACCGGTGAGATCGATTGTTTTTCCGTCACTCAAATAGGATCGACGGGAAACTAAACCTTCATTACCTTCATCAACGTCATCCATCTTACCAGCGGTATCATCTGACCACAGGACATTACTCAGGTGTGAGTTCTTCGCATCGGTGCCGTAATTTAGAAGTGTTTCTATACAAGCTCGGTAAGCATATGCATTATTGGCAGGTGTCACAGCTTTCTGATTGAAGGAGATATCTACTTGATCGAATAATGAGTGTAATAAATTGTTGACCGGTCCGATAGTAGCGGACGGTATAGAATTCTTCTCCGTTACTAGGGTTGGTATCGAAACACGTAACAGTAGGCGGGTATGAGCTAAGTCAATGTATTCATCACCTTTTCCTGGTATATCGAACTCAATGGGTGAATAATCCACGAGTGATGATATTGGTTTATAGTGTACATCGTATGAGGATTCTATGGCTGTCTGCGTTGGGGGTACAGAAAATAAGTCCAACTCACTTTTCACTCCCTCACACGAATGAGTGTGCAAAAACGCCATGTTTTTAGGTGAAAATATCGGCAACTGATCGTAATTTGGTTGATTGCTTCTTCTGCCTTGCAATTTTTAAACGTTTCTTTGTAGTTTTCCTCTTGCCTTTCTTCGTTACCCGTGGTTTCTTCTTCCTGTGCACTCCAGATGTTAACTTGCGGCGTTTGGACTGTCGCGGAGCACGGCCAACCGCAGAATGAGAGTATGATAACATATTCCCAGTGTTATATCCTGAGCCAGTCATCAGCGTATCAAGTTTCTCCTTTGCCCTCCTCTTCAAATTGATACCCGATTCCCGTACGCGACTTCGCAGAGCGTCTTTCAAAGGTATATCACGCTCAAGAACATCACCTACGACATTCACACCTGAACGTAAAGTTTCTCTTCCAATAGCTGATGCTTTTTGTCTGAGTAGGGGTAGTATTCGTCTGAACAATCCACCTAGGAAACTACCAATGCCATGCCCTTTTTGATTAGCACTACCTATGTACACACGACTTATACCTCCGTGCGCACCTGTGCTGTATCCCCCTCCAGATTGTGGTAACTCGTCGAAAATGTAGGTGTTCATAATCGCCTTTATTCGGTGCGTTTGAAGTGAAGTGTCACAGTTCACGTTCCGTATTCAAATGGTATCGGTGCTCCATATTCATCCCGTATATCTATCTCGATCGTTTGAAATTTCGTACGTAGTAACGGTATATAAAGAGCTGGTGAAAATACTTTGATTTTCATACCGTCGTATTTATAATTATCAATGTCCAATGGTACAATACGCATTAATGGTGAGTGTACATCACCGGTTATATAGGTTTCGCATATATCCGAGTATACGTACATACTTTGAGGAAGACCTCGTGATGATGAAGCTGGTGCCGGACCGTCGTTTGGTCACATAATACCACACTTTTGTCTTCAGATCCAAAACCGAGAAGTTTTTTCACTAAAGGTGCTAGTAGATAAACAAGGCCGGTTCTGGACATTGGGATCTGAGGGGGGGTGCGGGGCGGGTGAGGTTGCGGGGGAGGACAATGCTGGAATCTGCTAGGCCCTCGGTCGGTAATGGGGGGAATCTTCTTTATCGACTCCGCGGTGGTAATGTTCGGGGCTCCATTTTGAGCCAGAATGGGGGGGAGGGGGGATACCCGCCATGTGATATCTGACGTTGAATATCCACCATATGATATCTCATATCTAATACCTTGTATGTGATGTCTACAATCTAATATCTCATTTCTGATTTCTAATATCTAATATTTCATAGCTGACAATCGTAGTTGTTAAAATTTTCAGACGTTCTGTTGGCGGTGCATTTTTTTTTCTTTGATGCCACCTCAATAATCATAATTACAACAAATTAATTCATGAGTAGTAGAAACTAAAAATGAGAAAGATGAATTTTTTTTTTAATCAAATCTGAGGAGTGATTTTAAACTCGATACTTCTCTCTCTCTCTCTCATTGAGATTGAAGCGCGAACTGGTCCACCGCTCACGTGGCCGCGTGTGTTTACGGGTGAGCACGTACGCGACCTATAAACAAAACACTCGACCTCTTGAATGAATCGCAGTGAATCGTTTTCCAAGTGGAATGAATATTCCACCATAGTCTTCAAAAGACGATACCATGTATCATAACACAAGTTTAATAATTTGCAATGATCTTTCTTTTTTTGGGGGGGTTTTTACATTGAATGCTCATGACATTGAACAAAACAGAAATTAATAGTGCACTTGTGAACTGAATGTTTCCAATTTAAATGGAACATCAATTACTTTATCTAATTTGATACCAATTAATGATAGGAAAACAGACACGAATCAATTTAATTTTTCAATAAAATTTCCTGAGACTTAGTGATTGTCGAATGCTTTCTGTGTGTTTATGTATTTACCGATGAGCACGTCCGCGTCACATAAACATTGATAGTGGTCTCGCTGGGATCATGACATAGAGATGGAAAAGTTCATGTGGACCAGTGCAAGAGTCATTCACCTCATCAACTGAGATCGAAGAAATTCAAAGTTGGGTGAAAAATGATTTATGGGAATGTAGGTATAAAGAATTTCTCAGAAAAATTGGATCGTTACGAATGTGGGTGCTTTTCTAGGAATCAATAATGCTTTCCGAGAATAAAATTTCAGTTGTTACGAAATTTGGACAGACTGGTGGAGGGGATGAAGTGATATAAATGGCGAATTTTTAGGGAGAACTTTAGTTGTAATCATGGAGAATCTCTCACCAGAAGACATACGCTATTTGAATAGTACTCCACCGTACTGTCCCGACTTTGAAGACCTAGTGGAAAAGCATTTTGGTGATGTTCCACCGAAAAATATCTGGAGTGTCACCAGTGATGTGCACTTTTTGGAGAGGAATTATGCTGCTGTGAGAAGGAAGCATGAGGAAGATGCTGCAGATGACTCACTCCTACCATTATCCATCCACATTACGAAAAAGCTGGCTGTTATTCTTAACTGCATTGAAGAATTGATAGTGAGAGTGGATAATGAGTTTGTGCGAGATCGTTGGGTTAGTTCATGGAACAGTAGATCCAAGCGAAAAAGGGGGCCAAAGCTGTACGAGAAAAGTCCAGCAGCCCCCATGCTAGGCATTCTACATGAACTCAAACTCGGTGTAAACATACTGTTTGAATCATTGAAAACCGAGGCAGACTCGGCTCTTGGTCATGATGTCGTTGACGAGAAATAAAAAGATTTTCTTTTCCAATAATTATTGTCTATTGATTCAGTTGAATGATTACATTTATTTTTTAAATAAGTTTCTTGACGCTGCCGGTGATTCGATGATTCGATCGTGTAAGATCAAGCAGTAGGCTGCGGTGTTGGCATCGAAGATCTGCGATGATTCAAACTCCAGACGAATGGCCACAGGGCCGATTTTCAAGAACTCGTTCTGCTTGGAGCAATCGATGACGATGAGGGGTGCTGTTTTCAAGTAGTCCGCTCTGCTGAATCGTGGTTCAGGTTCTGTATGGTAATAGGAGGCTTGGAAGCTGGTGTACATATCGTAGAGAAGAGCTGATTGGTTGTGTTCAATGTCCAAATTCAGATTTCCATATGGATAACTTTGCGAATTCAAAAATAATTTGATTTCTCGAATATTACAATGATCGAATGCACTGGCATCCTTCAAAGCCTGATTTTTTCTAGCTACTTGAAAGCCGAAAATGACGTAACGCGGTTTCTCCAATTGCATTGAGCATTTCACAGTCCAGACATGCTTCGTTGTGCTCGGCAGCAGAGGATACTCGTACAATTCCCAAGAGCGAAAGCTAATCGGCACCACCCTGTCTTTTAAAATCTGATTGAGAAGCTGTACTTTTCGAGTGTCAGCAGGTTTAGTGTAGGGTAGCATCCGATCGATCTGGGTGATTGTGATTTTGAAGTGCTCAGCTTGTGGTCCAACATTGGCTTGGAATATAGCATTAAAGTTACTGTGTGAACATGTTAGGATTAACTCATGCTTTGCATTCACAACAATTCTCTGATAATCTTCAGCGAATCCTAAAACCATGCTCAGAGGAATGGATACATCAAAATATCCTGCCTCATCAGCTATTTTCTTCTCGTTGTCAATTCTCCAGCCCGCATTTCCCATGAGATATTTCTGGCTAGGACTCTGAGAGATGTAATTTTTCATTAATGTTGTCAAGCCAACATTTTTACACCTATCAATTTCCACTGAATTTAATTCATAGCGTATTTTCTCGAATAAATGACAAATAGCATTATTCACAAGTTGTGTATTTGCAACAAGTGTATTATCGGCTTTAGTTAATCTGCCACAATTGTGCAATGAACTCTTACATGGCAGTACATAGAGATCCTGGTGTTATACAGAAATACGGATTTCGTCATTGTCGTTGAAGGAAGATGATTCAAATGGTTGGTGCGAATGAATCTCATAATGAGCAATCGACTCATCAAAGATTATCCGCTTCTGAATGTTCAGGATCTCTTCCATGGCAGATGGCAGTAACAGCAGGCGCTGAAGACACAGCAAACCCTCACTTTCCTCCTTTTCCGCGAATTCTTAGTCCCAGAGTACGCAGGAACTTGATTTTCTGCGATGTCAGCTTCGTGAGATGCACTCGACGACTGTTCGCTTGCCGGCATGAGTCCTCACTTTTATAACTGCGACCGACTTCCCTTCCCTCAAACACAATACCCATTATTCAATGAGCTCTTATATGAAGTCGTATTGTGATGACTTCGCCACGGAAATTCACAGGGCGATTGTCTTGATCGACAATTCTCAATTGCAGATGGTCTATTGACCGCACCACGATTGGCAAGTAAATGACCTGAGCAGGTGTTTCAATGATCTTATATCCAGGTGGAATGCTTGGGAAGAATTCGTGAATTGTATGCACACGTCGATTGTTAATGTAGGCTTCTGCAGTTAGATTACACTCAATAAGTAGAGAGTTCACATGAATGATATTTGGAGGCGTGGCAGATTCGTAGAATGTTGAATATGCTAGAACTTGTCCTTGAAAACCAAGCAGTTGCCCAATGGAGTCCAACGGCCTGAAATTTATCACCACATCCTTGGGTACTTCAATCACCGTCTTGAGCGTCTGATCATTTGCCCGTAAAGTGAAGGGAATTTCATACACTGATAATTGATCTTTCAAAAATTTTTCAATATCAGTAATTTCATAGCTTCCTGTTGGTACAGTCAATTTTATCGCCAATCCATCTTTTTCAACGTAAAATTTATTACATCCTTCGTCGATATTAGGAATGGAATTGTAGGTGAGAAATCGAACGAGCCCCACACTATACAATTTCTCTGGTGATAATTCAATCGGCGGGAAATAGCGGGCCTCTAGTATAGAAGATCGGCCCGACAGGGTCAAGGTAAATGAATCACTCATGACAGGCAACACTCAACTGATATCATTGTGAACTTTAGCTGCTTTATATCATTTCACCAGCTAGAAATTTCAAACATAAATGCCCACAGATAATGGTATCATAGTCTTGATAATTTTCAGGATTATATTTCACAACACTACCGCCACCGATGTAATTAATCAATTCTTGAGGTAGACGCAAATTGCCATAGCTATCACCATAGATCACTTCATGATTCTTCTTTTTATATGCAACCCAGTGAGTGCCGGGACCATCATTATCATCAAGATTCACTATAGCTGATTCACATTTCCAGGGTCCACCTCGAGGCAACCCATTTCTCATATAAACTCCGCGAAAATGTGGAATTTTCATGATGCTGGCATACTTCATCAAATCACCATCAGTGAGAGCTCGGTGCGGTAGTTTTACAAGTTTTTTGGATTCAAATGTAAACCCAGGCCAGACTTATAGGGTTTTAAGTATATTCCCTTGCCGAGAGCGATGGATTCCATGGTGCCGTTGTGACGTTTACTCTCTTCCAGTTCGGCTCTGGCATGTTTAGAAGTGTTGACAGCTTTGGCTATACCAGCAGCTCCACCCGCTAGGGCACCTGTCGCACTGAGTCCTGCCAATAATGGAATTAAAAATGCTGGTAAAATTCCCCCAATTTTCGATGGGATGGGGAGAATTCGAGGCGTCGGCTTCATTTTTTCCCTCCCTCCAACATTTTTAACTGCTTCACGTGCACCTTTAAGTGCGCTCATCACAGCATTGGGTCCAGGCTGCATGGAGCCTTTGGCGGCTTGTATAATCTGTCGCAGTGGTATCTTTTTCTTCACACTTCCCCCTCTACGTTTCTTCCGAACACCACCACCACCCCCACAGCCTGCAATTTTTCTCTTTGTCTTCTCACCAGCACTAATGTTTAGCCCCATACCGAATTTATGTTTCATCTTCATGAGGCTACTCACACTCCAAGCAGCCGCCTTCTCACCAACACTAGCGTCTTTAGCAAAAGCCCTATGCAGAGCTTTATCTTCAGAATTCTATGAGCGGTGTGTCTAGCTGGCAAATTTTCTCTATTTTTTGAATATGCTATATCGTGCTCTTTATACGCTTTATCCAATGGATTTATCCCAGGATCACCGCGTGCTA